GCTTGTGTTGAACCTTTGTTTTACTTAATAATGGCTCCAAAGTGCAAGGGTAGCAAAATTGGCAACTTGGATATGCCAGAGAGAAGCTGTTAAGTGCTTTCTTTCTTTAAGCTGTTAAAGTGAAAGTACCATAAGATATATTTTAAGAGACAACATTCACATAAATTTTATTACAGCATATTACCATAGTCATTGAATTTTACTTTGTTCTTGTTGATAATATCTCACTATGTCTAATTTATAAATTAAGATTTATCATAGGTTTGTACATATAGAGAAGCACAGTATATATGGGGAGCAGTACTATCTGAGGTTTTAGGTTTCCACTAGGGTTCTTGAAACAGCCCTTGTGAATAAGGGGACCATGGTACAATAGCCAGTTCCTGGATGGTCTTACTGGACAGTCCCCAGCCTAATTGAGGAAAAAAAATATAGTATCATTCCAGCCTTAAGAACCCAGCTTCCCCACTGCAGGGTCCTGCTGGCCTAGCCCTTCTCTGTCCTGCCATCTCCTGCTGGTGTGGAGAGAGGGGCAGCGAGAGTCCTCTGGAGGAATGGGGATGGTCAGTAGTTCCCCTCCTCTAACTCCTCTGGTATCATCCATTTGCAGCTTTCAGTTTGCTCTTCATTCAGTAGAATTTGAATCTGAGACCCTGAGCTGGGATCCTATCTTTGCCATCCACTCGCTGAGGACCTTTGGCCAAGTCCTCTGATCTCTTTGGGCCTGTTTCCTGTGGGATGAGAGCTCCTGACCCAGGGTATTATAGAGACAAAAGCTGGTGGGATGCCAGTAAAGAAGCAGGGAGGGAGAGAGGGGAGGGGTGTGAGTGAGCCAGGAGGCGAGTCTGATGGGAGGGAGAGCCAGGGTCCCTGGAGACCTGCAGTGTTCACTTCGTTCACTTCGTGAGACTTGAGATCCCAGGGGCTGGGACAGGCCATCACCCTCACAAGCACCTCCAGGGCTGTGTGCCCAGCAAGAACAAGGCCCCCCATTAACTATGGGCAGCCAGCGGAAAGAGGAATGCCCACTGCCCCGCCAGCCGACGCCATGCCATCCCTTGCCTCCTTGCCTGCTCCCCTGCTCTGAATGTAGAAGCCCAGAGTGCCACCCCGGTCCCCCGCCTGCCCTGCCTCCACCTGCCAGAAAGGATTAGCCTCTCTGTCGCAGCTATCACAATGGTGCAAAGGCACCATGCTTTGGAGTTCAGGGCACACACTGAGGGTAGGGCTTGGGGTCAGGAATTACCTGGGCCAGTTGCTGGAACCCTACTATGCCCAGTGCTGATGGATGCTTGGCCTTGGAGCCTGCAGGGGGCCAGAGAGCAAGTAGAGTGTAGCAAGAGAGGAGGGTTTGGAAGCTCACAAGCTTGTCCAGAGGAGCCTTCCTGATGTCTTGCTCTGGCCCCTTGCCCTTACCTGGCCTGGAACCCCCAGATGAGCAGATGGAGTAATTCAACACCCCACAACTTGTTTTAGTGTTTGACTTCTTAGGAATATTATTCTATAAAGTTCTTCCTAGAATCCCTCCTCTTCTTGCTGTGATGTCCCCTATTTTCCCTCTTGCTTTGGTTAAAGAGGAGAGAGCCAGTAGCCAGCCCTGCCTTTTTAGCTCCCTAGGAACTAGTAGGTTGGATTGGGTTTCGTTTTACTTTCTCCATGAGGAAGGCAGCTGGGACTGTAGAAACCACCTGGGAGATGCCATACATGCGGCCTCCAGGGATCTCCAGGGCCTGCCTGTTGCAGAGGAGGCTGAAGGCTCCGTGCACTTCCCCCTGGGAATCAGGTTCTCCTGCAGTCTCCCTGCCTTGCAGTGCTCTGGGTTGCAGTTAGCCTGGCATGGCCTTTGTGAGAATTAGAGAAAAGTGCCTCTTGTTTGCAAGGCCCTACCACATGGGCAGAAGAGGATAGTGGAACAGGGGCAGGGTTTCAACCTTGGGCAGGCACTCTAGGCCAGACCACAAGCAACACCTCTCTGGGTCAGTCTGGTCAATACTTAGCAATTGAGCCAGGCATGGTGGCACAAATTTATAATCCTAGTGACTCCAGAGGCTGAGACAGGAGGATTGCAAGTTCAAGATCAGCCTGGGCAACTTAGCAAGACCTTTTTTCAAAATGAAAACAAAAGAGCTGGGACGTAGCTCAGTGGTAGAGCACTCCTAAGTTCAATCCCCAGCACAGAAAAAAAAGAAAAATGATTGAAAAAATATTTATGAAGTATTGCTTAAAGATTCCCCCTAGTCTTCTGGACATTTCTAAAGCCTTTTTACTCACAGTACAGTTCACAGCCAGCAGTAGCAGTAGCGGCAGCATCGGGGAGAATGCTGGGAGTGCAGGAGCTCAGGCCTAGCTCCAGAATGACACAGTCAGAATTTGCACTTGAGGTTGCCCAGCAAACTGGTGTAGCTGACACTCACCTGGGCTCCAACATTGGAATAAGTCACATCATCCGCTGAGTTTCTGCTCAGCTGCCCCCATTCCACCTCCCAGAGAACTGGCTTTACCTAATTTGCACCTAGGTAGTGTACCACTGGTTTCCATCCAGGGATGTAAGAAAGAGCCCCACAGATGTCACTGTCGATTTCCAGCAAGAATGTGGTGAAGAAAGAAGTCTCTGGGTTTGGTGGGAGTCTTTGGAGGCAGCCAGGGAAGCATCAGCCTCATTCAGAATGCAAGTGGCTGCCTGAGATGTCTCTTCCTCCAGAAAACCTTCCCTGACCCTCAACTCTAGGAGAGGGCTCCCCTCTGAGCTTGTGCTGCCCCAGGGCCCATCTGCTTGCGTTCTACCTCCTGTTCACCTGTCTGTGTCTCAGACTAGGCTGGGAGCCCCACCTGGCCATCCATGTCCCCAGGTATTCTCAGTGCTGGTCCAAGCCCCTGGCACGTGGGTGCTCAAAAATATCAGTAGAATATGCGAATGAAGAGATGAATGAGTGAATGAACAGATGAATGAACAGTGAACAGCCAGGGGCCAGGAGGGATAGGGCAGAGACCAACTCAGGCTGGAGTTGATGGGCTTTCCTCAGAGAGAGGGCTGGGAGGGAGGGAACACTTTCCAGACCTGGTAGTGGCACTAACCTGGTTCCAGGAGCCAACCCAGCCGGCTGCAGTGAGGACTGAGCCTCAATGGGGAGCCTCTGCAGTTGCCAGGCAGGCTCCTGACCAGGCTTGGGTTTCATTAGAGTGAGACATCTGTTCTAGAAACCCTTTCACTGAGGGGCTTCTGCTTTTCCTGTTCATTCTCTTTATTTTCTTAAAGAAAGAAAATGTCTTTTGAAAACTTCCATCCAGTTCCAAACACACTAAGATGAACATAGGAATGTGCCCGCCCCAGACCGGGATGGGCGAGTGCTCTGGGGACTTGAGGTGGGTTCTTGAATCCCTGTGGTGTAGCTGACACTTGCCTAGGTTCCGAAGGCCCAAGATGAGCTCTGTGTTCAGACAGATCACAGGCTGGCAGGTCAGGGAGTTGTCACCTGGGCATTAAGCCCTAGGTGGGAGGCATGCCTAGGCTGATGGGGGCACTTGGGGGACACACAGGATGGACAGGGCATCAGTGGGGAAGAACGCGCCTCACTGTGGCATCCTGTGAAGATCCAGGGAGCTGAATCTGATGGCCAGGAAGCCCTGGGAGGAAAGTCTGGGAATCCCAATGTCCTTGGTCAGGCCAGCACATTTTTTTGTTTTCCCCAGTATTGGGGATTGAAATCAGGAGTGTTTCTCCACTGAGCTGCACCCCAGCCCTTTTATATTTTTGTTTTGAGACAGGATCTTGCTAACTTGCCCCAGCTGGCCTTGAACATGTGATCCTCCTTCCCCAGCTTTCCGAGTCATTGGGATTACAGGCATGTGCCACCTCACCCAGCCCTGCTAGCAAATCTTAGGTGTTTATTAAGCATCTATTATGTGCCAGAATCTGTGAAAGGTGACATGGATATATGGAAGCGTAAGATGAAAATGATACACAGAAATAAAAATCTAATTTCAACTCAATGAAGCAACAGCTGAGAAGGGTCCACAAGATACCATGGCATCCAGAGGGGGACACGGCAGCCTGAGTTTCAAAAAAAAAAAAAAAAAAAGAAAGTACAATATAACAGAAAACATGCACAAAAGGATAGCTTGATAAGTTTCCACAGGCAAATACCCCTGTATGAGCAGTACCCAGACCAGGAAATAGAATATCATTAGTTTAGCGGAAGTCCTCCATCCTATAATCATCCATCCCCCGAGAGGATAAACACCATGTTTTTTCTTTTTTAAAATGTGTTTTTTGTTTTGTTTGTTTTTGGTACTGGGGATTGAATGCAGGGATGCTCTACCTCTGAGCTACATCCCCAGCCCTTTTTATTTTGAGACAAGGCCTTTGTAAGTTGCCCAGGCTAGCCTCGAACCTGCAATCCTCCTGTCTCAGCCTCTGAGTCTCTGGGATCACAGGGTGCACCACACCACCGTCATAATTTCTAATAACATAGAAAGTTTTTCCAGCGTTTTGAACTTTATGTAAAGTTGTATCTGGCTTCTTTTCCTGTGTTTGAGGATCCACCCACATGGTTGCTTCTTGGCAGTTTTTTCGCTGGGGGTGACTACTATACAATATGTCCATTCTACTGTGGTTGAGCGCTGGACACTTCCCAGTTGGGGGTGTTACAAGGAGCGCGGCTGTGAGCAGTCCCGTATGGTTGCTGGGTGAGCACGTGAGTGCATTTCTATTGGTTAAATGCCCAGGAATGGAATTTCTGAGTCAGAGTAGATACAGAAGAATCTCAAGAGGTGAGCATGACTGGCCTAGGTGGAGAAGTGTGGGATGAGTCACTGGCTTGCTCTGAGGACAGGGGTGGCAGGGGGACAGAGGGAGGGGGCAGCAGGAGCCCACAGGGAGAAGAGGGGTTCAAGGAACAGCAACACATTGAGACCCCTCTGACTGCTCCTGCTTACCTGTGTTAATTCCCAGGTGCTACTGTGACATAGGACCATAAACTGGCTAATTGAAAACTAGATGAATTTATTCTATCACAGTTCTTGGGCCCAGGAACTCCAAATCAAGGTGTGAACAGGGCTGTATCCCTGTGGCTCTGGGGGAGAATCCACTGCAAGCTCCTGGAGTTTCTGGTGCCCTTGGCTTGTGGCCACATCACTCCCATCTCTGCTTCATCTTCTTTGTGTGTGACCTCTGGATGTCTCTCACAAGGCACTTGCCTCTGGATCCAGAGCCCACCTGGAGGATCCACGATGATCTCAGGCTTCCACTGAACTACACCTGCAAAGACCTTTTTCCAAGTCAAGTCATAGTGACAGGTTCCAGGAATTAAGAGCTAGATGTATTTTTTGAGGAGCTGCCATCCATCCTGCCAAATCACCCCTAGCTGTCATCCTGAGCACCTCATCCCTTCTCCCCACCCTGCAAAGCTGTCACTCAGCTCTTTTCTTTGTGGTACTGGGATGGAACCCAGGGCCTTGTGCATGCCAGGCAAGCACCACTGCCACTCAGCTCCGTCTCCAGCCCCTTTTATCTGATTTTGAGACAGGGTCTGGCTAAGTTGCTGAGACTGACCTTGAACTTGCAATTCTTTTGCCTCAGCCTCCCTAGTCACTGGGATTACAAGTTTGCCTGGCTTTAGTCAGGCCATTTTCTTATGGCTCATCATGTCCCCCTTGGCCAGTTCAGGCCAAGCTCCCTCCAGGAAGCCCTCCTTGACTGTCTCCTGACCCTCAGGTCCTTGAGAGTCCTCCAGCTCTAGTGTCCAAGGCTCTGTCCTTCAGAGTCTGTGGTTCTGAATCTCTCCTCAGACTGAGGTTTCCCGAGGGAAGGAAATATTTCTTCCTGCTTCTCTTTTACACCCGGGGCACCCATCTCCTGCACACAAGCTCACGGAGAACAAGGAAGCTGGCCAAAGACACCTTTCCAGCAGCGGCTGGCCAGCTCTACCTTGTGGCCTCTGCTCTTCCCCAGAAGGGGCCAGGTTGTTACCTTGTCCCAGGGCCTGTGTGGTAGTCTCAGCTGCACACACACAGCAGGGGTGGGGGAGGAGCTGGGCCAGGGGAAGGAGCCCAGCCCTTTGCCTTTCCTTGGAGAGGCTGGGACACAGGAATGCCTTTGGCTGGGAGACCCTGGCCAGAGATCAGAAGATCAAAGGATGAGAAGATCAGGGGCGAGGCAGGTGGCATCACTTGGAGGCACCAGAGAGAAGCAGCAGCTGGTGCCTCCTAAGGGCAGGGTTGACCCAAAACGCCCTCCCCTCCCTCAGAAGCCCCAACCCATCTGTTTCCTAACCTTGCAGAGCTGCTTCTCCAGGCTGGGGGCCTCTGGGAGTGAATGCAAGTGTGTGTGTGGGGGTGTGTGCTGACTGACATGTGCCATCCTGTGGGCAAAACTAATACTCCCTACACACGTGGATTCTCCTATCCCACTTAAATCTCACTATGCCCTTAGGAGGGTTAATAACAGGGCGATTCTTAGATGTAGAAACTGAGGTACAAAGAGAAAGCCCAACATCAAACCACTGTCAAGTGTTAGGGCCAAGATACAAACTCTGGCAGTCTGACATCAGAACCACAACTACTCAGTATAAGGCAAGGCAGACAGTTGTTCAGTCCAACTGCAGCATGAGGGAGTGAGGCTAGAGGTCAGCTAGGACTTCTTGATGGGCAGGGAGTGCGGACCTAGACCTTGGTTGGATCTAGTCTTCCTACAAGATGAACCAAATAGGAAGGGAGTTGGGGAAGAGGAAAGTGGGGAGACATTTGGGGACTGATGGACTGGAGGCAGGACAGCGGCAGATCAGTGGTGGGCAGGACAGGCGTAGTCAGTAGTGGGCACTGGCTGGAAACTTGCGTTCGAGGCCTCAGGAGCTGGATGGAGGAAGGGAGACGCTGGGCGCCGGCAGATCGGTAAGACATGGTGCGCCCAGGTGGGCTTGGGGAGGGGTGCCGAGCCTCGAGTCCTGGGGAAGCGCGATCCCGAGGCCGACGCGACGGGTGGGGCCCTCCGGGGTGGGCGCTAATCCCCTGCCTTGTTCCCCGAGCTCTGGCCACCGCCCGGCGGCTGGGCGCTGGCAGCCCGGGCAGCAGCGCAGCGGGAGGCTCCGCGGCTGGGCCGGTCCGTGCGTGCGGCTGGGGCAGCAGAGCCCGCCCGCGGGGGGTTCGCGCTGGCATTTCTAACTGTGTGACTTAGGGGAAGTAACGTGATATTTCCGAGTCGCCAGTTCTTCATTTAAGGTGGGAATAAATAAGGCTTCACTCCCTGGCCCGGGAAAAGAATTGCATTCCACGAGAACAGGGACGTGCCCAGCTCTAGCAACCGCAAAAGACCTTCAGATTGTGGGCGCGGGGGAGAGGCAGGGGCGTAGGGTTTGAGGACAACCTGGCATTTGGGCCCTGAGGGACCTTAATTTTGCTGAACCTCATCTGTAAAATGAGCCCGAGGCCTCTCAACTCCTAGCCTCTGCTTTCCCCTGCCTTCAGCTGGAGCCTGGGGCCTCCGGCAGGGCTCTTGTGTTGCCCCTGGCTGGGGGGGAGGTGGGGGGTGTCTGGGAGCTCCGCAGTGTGTAGAGAGGCAGAAGGACGTTGAGCTGCTGGCCTGAGAAGGAGAGGAGGAGGTCCTGATGTGAGAAGGGAGCAGTGTCTGGGATGGGGTGGTGACTGCATGGCGGGGCCTTGCTCCAGACACACCCTGCCTGTTTATCTGTGGGAAAAAAGGTAGCGGGCTGGGGCTCCAGCTAAGCAAACAGCGCTCAGGGCTGGGGTGGCACCTCCTGCTCGGGCTGCCTGGCTCCGTCCCACCTGGGTGTCCTCTTGTACCCACTCCACCCAGCCCTGTCAGGGGCCCTGGCTGGGAGCTCAGGGATTTCCCAATGTGCGGAGGGAAGGGGAGCCGCTAGTAGTTCCTACCCCAGATGTCTGGGCTGAGGAGAGCTTGCATTCCTTCCCACACACAGAGAGGGTGCCCTGCTAGGCTGAGCCAGGGACCAGAGGGACTGTTAAAGACACTGGTGAGTCAGAGACTGGGGCCTGGCGGGATCCAATGAACAAGACTTCAAATGCACAGCCACTGTGGCTGGCTTTCTCTGGGTTTATTCTGTCCCCCTCCTGCACCAGATTCGTCTGACCTCTTCTGTCCCTCTGGCCAGGGCCTGTGTGTGGGATGCGCCCCCTCCCTTCCATGGCCTTCTAGAAAACCGACCTGGATGCTGTCTGTGTATGTGACAGAAACCCATAATTGGGAGCTGTGGAGGAGCTCTAGACTGTTTGGACAGAGCAGCCACATGAATGAATGATCTGAGACCAGAAGATGACAGTTTGTAATTGAAGGCAGGGTTGTGCGACCTGACTTATAACTGAACCCTCAGAGATTAGAGTCAAAAGGCCACAGGGGGATTAGTCTGAGAGGAAGCCCTATGACACTCAAGCCCCAGTCCCAGCACTTGTCACTCAGCCTGGTATTATTGTCTGTTCTCTGGCCATTGTCCCCACTGGAGTTGGCTCTTTGAGGACAAGGAGCATACATGTGCAAGGCTTCATCTAGCACAGAGCCTGTTATATAGTAAGTGCTCGATAAATACTCATTGAATAGGCAAATGGCTGCTTGATTCAGTGGACAGTGGGAGGTTGGAGGCTTCCTGTAGGCCGAGGCACTAGAACTGGGCCTTAGGGCATTGAGTAGTGATGTTCACAGGTGATGAGAGGTAATTTACTGTGTGCTAGGCACCCAGTGAGAGGTGAAATAACTTCCCCACAGTCACATGGCCAGTGAGTGGCAGAGCTGGGGACAAGCACGGGTCTTTCTGGGTGTGGAGGCTGCACTGTTGCTGTCTCACAGCACACCCTGTGATGGTGGATGTATTCTGGTCTGCATCCTCCATGGCAGTACCCTCTAGCTGCCTGTGGCGATTGAGCCCTGAAATATGTTTGGTGCAGCCAAAGAACTGAAATTTTCAACTTAATGTTAATGAACTTAAATAGTCGCCTGCGGCTGTGACCTTGCCATTCCTTTCTCTGGGCAGTGTGGGTCTGTGCTGTCTCCAGAGAGGGGGCAGAGAAGGGAGGGGGGTCCAGAGAAGCCCTCATGGCTTCAGGGCCCTCCAGAGACTCTGCCCTTCATGTCATGGGCTGTTATCAGGTCACACTGTGACCCCCCTGGTGGGGTCCAAGAAGTCTGGGTCCCTTTAACATCTCTGCCTGTGGGTGGCATGGCTTGGCAAGGAGGGAGGAGCCCTGGAGAAGCACACATGCATTGTGCAATCCCTGGGCCACGCTTTGCTCTTGAGCATTGCTTCCTGGCTCTGGGCACGGCTGGGGAGAACAGGTCCCATAGGCTCTCCAAGGACCTTGACCTCTGGCCTGGGGGCAGGAGCAGCCCCTTGCATTTGACCCACTGTAGCACTTTTGACTGGGACTTGGGCACTGCGGTCCAATCCGCCTTAGCAGCTTTACCCAGTAGAGCCAGAGATGCCCCCTCAGCCATGCATGGGCCTGGCTTCCCCCCAAAGGGATTTCCCTACAGTGCTGAAGGTCAAGGCCAGCCCCACACCCCATCTCCTTCTCCTCGCTCTGCCCAGGCACCCATGCCTGCAGCCCGCTGTCCAATGAACCCCTCTCTGTGAGAAGAAGCTGAGAAGTAGGGCTCAGCCTGAATTTGGTGCCCATGGAGCTAAACCACGATTTCCCACAACTAGCATTTTTGAGTGGAGGGACCTCTCCTGGGTGCCGTCCTTCCTTGGCCTCCGTTGTCGGTCATTAGACTTCGAGGAGACCCACATAGGCAAGAGCCAGTGATGGCATTCTCTGACTACCTGTGGAAAATACTATTTTTCTTTTCTCTCTTCTGACCTTTAGGAATATCTCTATTCCCCTCCCTTTACCCCTCTCAGTCCCACATGGATTAATTGGGTCATCTTCTGGTGACACTCTGGGTTTCCAGCCTTGCCCCAGTGCAGTCTGACCTGCCCAGCCTCAACTTTGCCTGGCAACTACCAGGACCCTCCCTCCCCTCCACAGGCACCCCCAATCCAGACCCTGCCTCTCCGGCTGACCCTCCAGCCTCTCATTCCCCCTCACCCCCCTCCAGTTCCCTCGTCATAGCCTTCCTGCCACTCCAGGCAGGCTGGAGACATTCTTGTTACCAACAAGGGAGCCAAGAAATGACAAAGTAAAGCAATAGCCCTTTTATTTCAAAATACAGCGTTGTTCTCACATAGGACTTTGTGCAAACCCTAAGAGAACGGTTTGTGCTGTTATGTGGATGGTGAGGGAGACTTTTTCTAGACTGAAGCACACTCCCTTGTTTGGAAAGTGTTGAAAACCACAAAATTCCAAGAGAACTTTGTGTCAACTTGTGTCTTTGGAATCTCAAAGAAGATAGCTGCTATGCACATTATTTCTGATGGGAAGTGTCATCTCAGGGAATAAACTAGACAGAGGACACTGCGTTAGAAAATTCAAGATTAAGCCAGACACAGTGGTGCACACCTGCAATCCCAGCTACCCAGGAATCTGAGGCAGGAGGATTGCAAGTTGGAGGCCAGCTTGGAAAACTTAGTGAGACTCTGTCACAAAATAAAAAAGATTTGGAGATATGACTCAGTGGTAGAATGTTCCTGGGCTCAATCTCCAGTACCTCCCCTGCAAAAGAAAAGAATCTATCTAGTCGATCGAAAGAGCATCCATCTGGTTGGTTGGTTTGAGATAGGGTCTTTTTATATTGCCCAGTCTGGTCTCAAACTCCTGAGCTCAAGTATCTTTTCTCAGCCTCCTGAGCAGCTGGAGCTACAGGTAAGTACCGTCATTCCACTCCTTATGTGATTTAAGAGACCAAGTAGTAACCCCCACTGTGCCATTAATTTGCTGTGTGATTTTAGGTACTTCTAACCCTCTCTGGATCTATTTTGTACTAGTAAGTTAAAGGAGTATGGTAAAAGACCAACCATTGAGCAGGTGTTTGCAAATACCTGGGATGGTGTATTTATTTTATTTTTTATGCATTCATGGGGATGGAACCCAGGTCCTGGAGCATGACTCCCATTTTATAGATGAGACAAAGGGGGCTCAGAGATATGAAATGACATGGGGATGGGGTCACACTGCTTTACCACAGAGCCAGAGGCAGAGCGTGTTTTCATGTCACATAACCAGGAGATGCTACGGGCACTTAGGAGCTAACTGCTGAAGCCAGGCAGTTAGAGGGACAGGCCCTGCCCAATGAAGAGCTAACTGCAGGGTCCATGATGGCGTGGGCTGCACACTGGGTGCCTTCCACTCTGGACTTCTGTGAGTTGCTTGAGTCTCATGCACCTTCACCCTCATCCCATTTCTGCCCAGGAAGCTCTCTCTGTAGGCTGTTTCCGCTCCTGAGACTCGTGTGTACTCTAGAACTGAATCCGGTGAGGGTCTACAGGAGCGTTTTGCAAACCACACAGCAGTGTACGTACGTGGGTTTTGTTGTTAGTTTGTGAGTCATCAATCCTCCCCCAGCAATGCAACTCCTCTGTACCCCCCAAGGCCTATTGCCAAAGCAGCTGGTGGCAAAGCAGGGATCTTCAAGACAGAGGGACCTAGCCATTCCCTTCATTCAACCAGATCCCTGCTTCTAAATTCAGGCTTCTTTCCTCTTTTGACCTCATTACCTGCCTCTCTTGTTGAAAGAAATTCATCAAGTGTTCTCTGGACACCCATGGTCCCTGTGGTAGATAGCTTGTCTACTGTAGATGCCTTTTTAGTGGGAGCCCCCCAACACCCCCCCTTTGTCTCATGCTACACTGGCCTGCCTGCGCCCTGCCAAGTTATCTTCCAATATGGTGGGATATGTGCCCAGCTCAGTGGCCCTCATGGTTCTTAGGCAGCCTGCCAGTCCCTATCCAGAGACAGAGAACAGGGTCAGGAGAAAACCCATGGCCCATGTAGGGTCAGGAGGGCTTGTTTGGAGGAGGACCACACTTTTACTTTCTCCAGAGGAGGCCAAATCACTAGAACATTACCAGTGACCTCTGTAGCAAGAGCCACCATTGACGGCACTGTTGACTTGGAATCAAGTTCCTCCCAGAGGCTGTGCCTTTCAGCATCAATGGGAGTTCATCCAACTAGACATTGGGAAGAACTTCCTCTGAGTGAAGGCTGTCAGTCACAGGAACAGGGAGAGGAATCGTTTATGTTTGTAACACTTCATTTGGTTTGGTTTTTTGACTCAGGGCCTGGCCCACGCTAGGCAAGCACCCCACCACTGAGCTACACCTCCAGCCCTGTGATGCGTTTATTTGATTGGTTTTTGAACACCCTATTTGCCAGGCATCCCACTAGGACTGGAGGGTGCACAGGTGATTAATCCCCTGCTTTGAATAAGCTCAGATATGTTGTTACAGACTAATAATTAGAATTCAGTTGGATGAGTCTGATAGTAGGGGATTAGGCAGATTTATAGAGACCTGGGCTTTATGTTTATTGACTCACACACTCCTCACAATAGCTCTTGTCAGGTAGGTACAATGACTCTGACTTTATAGATGAGACTAGGGGGGCTCAGAGATATTGGGATGGGGTCGCACAGCCAGTTAGCATTGTGCCAGGGTAAGGATAAAGGCAGGAGCAGTGCTAGACACTGGCTCAAGACTTATTGTCAAGTGTTTATGAAACGTCTTCGGGATCCAGAGGATGTCACCCCAGCTCTGCCTGGGGAGGTAAGGGAAGCCTCACAGAAGAGGTGACACCAGGGCATTGCTGTGGCTGGGGTTAGGGCTCATCTCCTGGACACCCTGAGGCCTTTTTCTGAGGGTGGATCCTATGTGTTCTTGCCAAAAAGTGAATGAATGAATGAATGAATGAATGAGAAGGAAAAACCGTAGCTATGTGAGATGATGGGTGTGTTCACGAGCTAAATGGTGGTGATTATTTCCTACTGTGTATGTATATCCAATCATCAAGTTGTACACCTTAAATATTTACAATAAAATAAATAGCTGACCTTTTCCTGGTTGCAGAGATGGGCAACCTGAGCCCCAGGAGAGACAGTGAAAAGGGGGTTCATGCGTCTTGGGTCTCTTCTCCAGTGTGGGATGTCCTTCCAGGTCTACCCCAGCAGGACCCAAAAGTTTGTCCTTCACTGTTGCTTCCTTCCACGGGAAAAATTCAAGCAGAACCGGTCCCCGCCAGGGGCCCTTGGTTATCAGCCAGACTTCCTTGGGAGCATCTCCTCTTTCCTGTCTCTGGAGCATGGGTTTTGCTGTTCTCTGCCCCATTCCATTTCCCAACATCTTCCCTCTTATCAAACCGGCTTCCTGTCTCCATGGTGACACCGCCTTACCCAGTTACCTTGGGTGGTCCAGTTACCTCACAGGGTGAAGCTCTGAGAACATTTTCCTAATGTGCAGCCAGAAACTTCCGCTTCCTGTGCCCAGGGCTGCCCCCCTCAGCCCTACCCTCCCACCAGCCTTGCTCTGTCAACACCCTCCCCCGCAACCCCACCTCATCATGGCCATGTCCAGCCAAGAGGACACAGAACGTGCCTGTGTATCCTGAGGGCTGCCAGGACTGGATGAAGACTTCAGAACGAGATTGCAAGCCATCCTTTGAAGCGCTTGCTTTTCAGGCCAGAATAGCTGTTGAGGGGCCCCCTGCAAATGAAAATGGAGGGCCTCTTGCCCAAAGTAGGAAGTATTTCAAAATGGCAATAGCTGGGCCCTTCTGAGTGTGGGGCCCTGTGCAACTGCACAGGTTATGTGCCCATGGAGTCAGCAATGGAGAGCAGTGTGTATGAGTTAGTGTGTGTGTGTGTGTGTGTGTGTGTATGGCAGGGCCCGGGGGCAGTGGTCACAGGGTGGTGATGGTAGAGCAGAGTTTGAGTTCAGGCCTTAAGTGTCCAATTCAGCCATAAGTTAGACCTTAAAACAGCATCACTAGGCCATTTGTTTCTCCCTCTCCCAGCTCTGCGCAATTCTCTTCCTACCTTTGCCTGGCACCAGCCTCACCCTTCTTCCTTTTGTGAGGGGCCAGGCCTGAATGGGCCCCCCACCCCACCAGACCATAGGAAACTGCCCCACCCTGGCCCCTCTCCTGAGCACTGCAGCTGAGCGGCCTGCTGTCTTGGGGCAGGATGTGGAGGCGGTGGTGAGGGTTCAGCCCCCTCCTCCCCAGGGGAGAACAATGAGGCCGCTAGTCAGGGTGGCAGGCGGAGGGAGTGGGTGGGGTGGGGGCCGTGGAGCAGCATCAGAGCTCCGGTGCGGCCCCTGGAGGGACAGCTGAGTGATGAGGCCTGAGTCACATGCCCCACGTGCTCCTTGAACTCCCGCTCGGGTGCCTGTCGAGACACATCAGAAATGCACAGGGTAAATATTTAGAGGTAATCATTTTCGTGGCACCTAGCTCCCTCCTCACTGAGGATGAGCCAGGCCCGGGGCTCAAGGGGAAGGAATCGAGTCAGACCAGGATCTGCAGCCTGGGCATCCATGGGCATCACCCTGCATCTGGTCAGATGTAGCCAGAGGCGGATGGAGCCCAGAAACATCCCGAGGACCAAACGAACCCTCTTGGTGCAACTTTTTTCCTGTCGTTGACTATGACCATCAGCCCCACTATGGCCTCCACAGAGCCCTGCTTCGAGACCTGGCAGGTGGCCGTGGCCCTTCTGTTTCCACAGGGGTGCAGGGAGGGAACCATAGACAAGGACCAGTCCCACATTTAGCGTGACAGTTCCTTAGCTCTACCCTGCCTGGAACATCTTCCTTCCTTAGAGGACATGGAGTCCGGAGCCCAAGCTTTATCAAAGATAAAACATTTGAGACTAAACAGTCTTTTTTATAGACTGGAACTGGGCTCCCAAGCACATGTCCCTAGCTACCCCACCAGCCTCTCCCAGCACACACATAAAGCAACACATTTCTGGGGCGGGGGAAATGGAGGCACAAGTTCGAGGGCACATGTGCATTCCGAGAGCAAGGCGAAGGCCTGAGGGTGCTGCCTAAGGACGCGGTAGTCTGACCTGGGCTCACCTCTGCTCACCCAGGGAGGTGAGCTGAGAAGCAGCTCTTAGGAGTTTGAAATAGGAGGGAACCCAAATGAGTCGGATATAAACGCACAACCTCTAAGAAGAAAATGCCAACAAGAGCCAGGACCTGCAAACAAAGTCCCCGACTCCGCCCTACCCACCTCCAGGCCTGTGGGGCTGGGACTCTGGCCCACAGGCCACTGAGGGAAAGGTGGAAGGAAGAAGCAAATATTTATTGTGTATGTCCTATTTATTAGGCAATCTGTCAACATGAGTTCTTGATCCTAACAAGGACCTAGCTAGCTTGGTTTTATTTGTTCCATATTATTATTATCATCATCATCATTTTTCATCTTATTTTTATGGCTGAGAAAATGGCTGGTCCAAGTGATCAAGAGCCCCAGGTTTGATAGGTGACTGTGGAGGAGAGATAGGACCTCAGGGCCTTTTGACTCCAAAGCTCCCTGCTTTTTTCTTTTGTTTTCTTAAATGTAAAATGGAAGCTAGCCTGGGGTGGTTGTGAGGATTAAGTGGGATTATTTGGATAAAGGTTGGCCAATGCCTGGCACAGAGTGGGCCTCCAGTAAATGTCAATGTAATTATTGTGGCTAATTTGTTTGCAGGTCATCTTAAAGGACAGTGACGCTAAAACCACTCATAGGGTCTCTTAGGTAACCTGGAAGGCTTAGAATGATCTAGGCTGTGAGTGCATGGAGGGATCTGGGCCTTCACACACCCCCATTCAGGAATCTGGGCATCTTCTAGGATGTGCCAGGAGACTGACAGGGAGCAAGGCCAATGGGAGGGAGACTGTCAGACAGCTCAAAGGGTTGGAACTGGATGACCCCTGTGGCAGCCTGGGGATGGGCACAGCAAGGCATGGACATCCACTGAGGCTGCTCTGTAGATTCCAGGCCTCAGTTTCCCCACTGGTAAAAAGAGTGCATAAAATATTATGTGCACTAGGGACCCCTCCCTTCCTCTCTGAAGTGCTACGAATTTTCCTCTAGCTCCTCCGTTTGTGGGGAAGTCAGCTTCCTTCATTGTCCTAATTGCAGCTAGTCCCAGGAGAACCCTGCCAAGGAAGAGTGAAAGGGGGAGGGTGGATGGGAGACTGGACAGAGGCAGCTCGGGGGGTCTGGCTCCCAGCCCTGCTCTGCCTGCGGAGCTAGGAGGGCAGGGCAGGGTGCAAGTGGGGGGCTGAAAGGAGCTGTGGGAAACTCTGTCTCCCCCAGGGGGACTTGGGGCAGGACAGTGCAGATGGTACAGGTGGGCAGCTCACAGCCCCCTCCCCGTTTTCTCTCCACGCAGAGACCTCAGCATGAACAACCTCACGGAGCTTCAGCCAGGCCTCTTCCGCCACCTTCGCTTCTTGGAGGAGCTGTGAGTGGGAGTTGGGGGATGGGAAGCGAGGCTGGGGCTGCCTCTACCAGCTGAGGAACCAGGTCACCTCAGGAGGAGGGGGGCTTGAGGGAAGAGAAAGGGGCTTGGGAAGCCAAGCGGTCCCGCTGACCTCTGCTCCAAGTGTGAGTCCTGGGGGGCAGGGCTAGGCCCACTCGGTACAGGAGGTCTGGAGTCTAACTGCATTCTTCCCTGAAACTAGGGCCTTTTTGCAACTTTTTTTTTTTTTGGCAGTCCTCGGGATTAAACCCAGGGGCGTTCTACCCCTGAACCACACCCCCAGCCCTTTTTATTTTGAGTCAGGTCCTTGCTAAGTTGTTCAGGGCCTCACTAAGTTCCTGAGACTGGCCTTGAACTTGCCATCCTCCTACCTCAGCTTCCTGAGTCGCTGAGATCACAGGTGTGCGCCACCCACTGTGCCTGGCTCACTTTCCCTCTCATTGTCCTTAGTTGCACATCTCCCCAGGGTCATCTTTGAGCTGAAGCTGTGCCCTGCGTCCAGCCACCAGCCATTCTCTAGAGCCCAGTGGTTCTATGAGATGTCACTCACATCTACCCTTTGTTCTCTATTCCCACTGCTACTGCCCCAGACATCCCGACACCTGGGGGAAACCAGCCTCCTAAGTGACAGATCTGCTGCCTCCCTTCTGATGTTCTCTGTACAACTTTAAGATGCACCCCACCAGCTCAAGAGCCCTTGGTGGCTCCCCACAACCTGTAGGATCAACGTCTTTACCCTCCCCTACAAGATCCTCTTCCCTGGAAAAGTCCTTTCTGGGTAATCCCTCCCCACACTGTCACTCCTGTCTGGCCTCACACTCAAGGAGGCTCAGGAGGAAGTCACCTGCTCCATTAGAGTGTCCCTCCTGATTGCTTTGGGAAACCAGGTCACTCTGTCCCAAGTCTCTCCTTCCCCTAGATCCTTGGGGTCCTACAAAGCTTTGCTTAAACTGCACAAACTGTGGGCTCCTGGCCCTGGATACGTTTCTGCCCCATCGCGACCCTGACCCCGCTACTCCCTCTCAAGTGTCCCCTCCTCACCCTGATAGCGCTCCTCAAGGACAGGGAGTCCATCAACTCCCAGGGCTGTAGCAGGGTTTGCAGATCGGGTTCTTGTCGGATCCTCTGTGCAGAAGGCAAGCTCAAGGTGACCTAGGGGAAACAAGCTGGAGGTCCCTTCTGCCACCCTCAGGGAGCTTGCTCAGGGCTGGCGAGCTGTGGGGACAGCAGGGGAGCTGGCACTGTAGGTGTGGGTCCCAGGGCATTGTGTGGGGGGGCAGGGTTGGTGGAGCTGAGCAATAGGGGGAAGAAGAAGAGGAGGAGGGGGAGGAGGAGGAAGGGGGAGGGAGAAGGGGAGGAAACCAGTTTTCAAAGGAAGTGGACAGGGTAAGAGGTGGGTGTGACAGCCTGCCAGGGGAACAAAAAGTAAGAGCAAGGCGAACAGATCAGGAAAGGGGACGAAGAGTGGGGACAACCTGAGAGTCAAGGCTGGTTTTGTAGCTCCTGCTCCCTGACAGGGTCAAGCTCCAGGACCCACCCAGGCACGAGCCCATCCACAGAAACCAGGCTTGGTGACCTCAGATATCGAGATGCCTTTCCACACAGTTATTTTTGAACGACAAATGTCAAGTAAAGAGACTTTGATTAGATTCTTTTGGGGGTGGGGTGGAATCTAACCCAGGGCCAGGCAAGCATTCTACCCTGAGCCACATCCCCAGCCTGAGATAAAACATATGGGGGGGTGGGGGGTGGAAAGCTCGGTTCAGAAGTGTCTTCTGAGCCAGGCACAGTTAACCTCTGCCCAGTCAGGTGTGAGCATATTTTATTACATTTGCTCCTTTTAGAATTGATCACCCCATGACAAATGGGGAAATGCTTAATTAGACCAGAATGTCATCTCCCAATGTTCCCCAATTACTGGGGGTGAGCTGTGTGGTGAAGGCGAGGGGAGATGCAGACCTCTGTACCCACCCCTTCACTGGTGACACGGGCAGTGCAGGTCAGTGGTCAAGAGCAGGATGTGGGTAGCCCAGCTCAGCCCAGGACAGACCACAGTGCAAAGTGAGCCCCAAAGATTGTCAGATCTGGGGCAAACCCTGTGCTTCTGGAGGCGAAGTCACTTGACTCAGCCTCAGTTTCCTTGTGTGAAATTTCTCATGTGAAATTTAAGCATAGCTAAATCCAAAAATCTGAAATATGAAACTTTTTGAACTCTGACCTGACGGCACCATCAGCGGACAATTCTGTGCCTGACCTCATGTGATAGGTCACAGTCAAAGCCCAGGAGCACTAAGACCATTGTAGGGCTGGAGTTGTAGCTAAGTAGTAGAGCATGTGCTTAGCATGCACAAGGCCCGCCGTTCCATCCTCAGCACCAAAACAAACAAGCAAAATTATTGTATGAAATTACCTTCAAGCCAGGGATGGTGGCATATGCCTGTAATTCCAGCAGCTCAGGAGGCTGAGGCAGGAGGATTGCAAGTTCGAGGCCAGCCTCAGCAACTTAGTGAGGCCCTAAGCAACTCAGCAAGACCCTGAGTCAAACTAAAAAATAAAAAGGGCTGGGATATAGCTCAGTGGTTAAGCACACCTGGGTTCCATCCCCATTATCTGAAACCAAACAAAGTACCTTATGGGGTTTTGTGAGAATTGAGATGGCATGTGTGGAGTAGGTGTAGACCTCAATAAATGCTAGCTGTCACCACCACCTCCCCCTCCCACATCCCAAGATACGAAGTAATAATGGAAGTCACCCCCTCCTTGGGTTACCTGCTGACACCACTGACCTTTGACTCTGATTTCCAGGCGTCTCTCTGGGAATCGTCTCTCACATATTCCGGGACAAGCCTTCTCTGGTCTCTACAGCCTGAAGATCCTGTAAGTATCAGTGCACCCCAGTTTCCATAAAGGTGCAACAGAGAGACTCATGGTCAGATGGAAGATCTGCAGCCTGACTCTTGGTTTACCACTGATTTGCTTCTTCTCTTCACTTTTTAAAAATTAGTTCTTTTTAGATACACTTGGCAGTAGAGTGTATTTTGACTTTATATTCACTTTATTTTCACTCATTATGTCCAATGCTTTGCTTTGTCTTATCTGCAATAAACCTTTGTGACTGTAAACAAATGTTGAATCGCACCTGCCCGTGGGTGGCCACCCTAAAGAGAAGTGAAGTTTTTTTTTTTTTTGGTGCCATGAATAATGCCCTAAGGCACAGGGCTTGGTGGGGGAAGAGTTCAGTTGCAGCACCCTCCCTGAGACCCTCAGGCCAGGAGAGGCAGAAGACTGTTTTTAGGGAGGAAGAATCCAGATGGGTTTTCTTTGCTCATTTTTCTTTTTGAGGCTCAAATGTGCTTTAGCTCATTCTCCTATCTTCTCCTTCAGCCTTCAGGCTGCTTCTGCCCAATCCCTTTCACCTCCCCTTTGAAGCAAAAAGGAAAGTAAGTTGGCGAAGACCTTGCGTTAATTACCTGGCTTTCCCTTGCCATTGGCCTGAGGATCCACTTCAGAGAATGGAAGGCTGAGGCCCTGTCTCCTCTCATCCCAACTCATGACTCACTCCATCTCAAAAATACTGTCCTCCCAGAGGCCTTCTTGGGTCCTTGTGACGAGGAAGGGTGGAGGAGGTGGAAGCACAGACTCTGGAGGTGGGCTTCCTGGAAAGGCTCCTTACCCCAGGGATTAGTTTGGGAAGAAAATGAGGATCTCAGGGGGCGGATCCTGAAGCAAAAGAATGGTCATTTGGAAGCTTCCCTAAGGTGCTGGCTGAGCCATTCCCCAGCTCTGTTACTCCTTTGGCCCTAACTAGACTTGCAGGTCTTTGTATAGTTGAGCCTGAGGGGATAAGGGACTGAAATCCAGTTCTGTGCCCTGGTTGGATGCAGCACCCCACTCAGAAACTGAGATATCTTTTTAAATTTTTTCTTAAAGTTGCTTTTGGACTAGCAGGGGCCCTTCCCACATGGTCCAGCCAATAATCCAAACCTAAGCACTTTCTTCTTTTCCCACGTAATTGGTGTTGTTGGGGCACCTCTGGTTCCCAGGTCTCTCTCTCCATCTGCCTCTGAATCTCACTCTCAGGGCTGTCCTGGCCGCTGTCCCTCCTCCATTCTCTACTCTGCCCGTGGGTGCCTCCTGTCTGTCCTCAGCCTCCTCTTCTGTCTTGGACCTTTCTCTCCCTCTTGGCACCTCTGCTACTGCCTCCCCGGTCTCCTTCCTGCCTCTGCCCTCCGTCTTGCTCCCCATAAGCACAGAGCCATGGGGGTGGGGGTGGGGGTGGGGGATTCTGAACCAGAGGCGCAGTGCAAGAGGCCTACTTGGTGGCATGTCTGTGCCCCGTGGCAGGCTCAGACCTGCAGCCGGATTAGAGAGCAGGGCTCTGTTTGCTGGGCCTTCAGAAGATGGGAGACTCACGTCCCGCTCCTAAGACTCTGGCTTAGAGATGAGCCTCCCCTTTCTTCTCTGCCTGCATTAGGCAATAAATCAAAGCCCAGGAGAAACCGCAGGCTGCCCGCCGCCCCCTTCCCACCAACGGCATCTTGGTGCAGCAGCAGGGCGGCCAGGAGAGCGGAGGACTGCCAGCCCATTCGCCCCCAACTCTGCCAGAGACCTCTGCTTTGCCCCATCCTCCAAGGCCACCAGGTCCCCCAAACCTGCATGCCGTTTCTCTGCCTGCAGACCTTTGCTTTAGGAACGGGCAGGCCGTCTGGGGAATCCCTCCTGTCACTCCAGTGCTTCAGAGCACCCCAGCATAGGACCTTCCCGATGTCTGACGTCCCTTGTTGCAGGTCCTTCCATTGTTTGGCTTTCAGGCCTGCAAGAAAAATAGGCCAGCAAGAGACCCTCTCTGCACCAGAGTCCCCAGCAGCTCCCCGGTCTCCTCTTGTCCAGGACCCTTCTCTGAATTGCACCTTCCTTTCTCTGATGCCTGGGAGACACGCCGCCTCCTTTTTACCCTCCCAGAAGCAAAGGATTAAATAAAGTGGATTCCCTCTCTGATCCTCCCTGAATGACTGTGGCAGAGCCCCTCCCTCGGGTCCTCCCCCCAGGCCAGCCCTGGAGGTATCACTAGGGCTTCTCTCCCACTCTCCTCTGTTCAAGGTTGGATCACCAGAGTTGGCCTCCACAGGGAGTCGGCAGCCGTGGGCTCCTGTGTGTCTGGACATCAGGTTCGCTGCCAGGCTCGCTGGTGGTGCTGTCTCAAGGGAAGCTACCGTTCTTGCTGCCCCAGGCACATGGGACACTGCATGTACCTCCAAGGGCCCTGTCCTGAGTGCCTGTAGGGCCTGGGGGTGGCTGTGGCCAGAGCCCTTGGGCTCAGGGTGTGTGTCTGTTAAGCCTCAGGGTCTTTACCTCAAAAGGTTGCAGCCCCACCTTCCCCTCCCAGAGCTTTCCTGCCAGGGAGCAGGACCTTAGTCCTTAATCCAGGCCTTAGTCCCCTCCTCGGAGGACCAGCCAGGGCCTGTGCCCGCCCTGCATCAGGATACTGTGGTCCCATCTACCAAGATGCCTGCTGACACCAGGCATGAAGCACACACCTGTCATCCCAGCAACTAGGGAGGCCGAGGCACTCTCCACAAGTAGCAGGCCAACCTGGGCAATGTAGCAAGACCCTGTCTCAAAATCAAACAAAGGGCTGGGGATGTGGCTCAGTGGAAAAGTACCCCCTAGGTTTAATCCCTAATACTGTGGGGTGGGGGGAGGAAGGAGGAGGGGGAGGGGGGAGGGGAGGGGGAGGGGGAGGGGGAGAAAGGAAAGGAAAGAAAAAGAAAACAAAGGACTCTGCTGGGACCTTTGTTCCTCACCAGAGCCAGACCCAGGAAGCAGGTGGCAGACAGTCAGGGCCTTACCATTCTGTCCCTGCCTCCAGTAGACTGGGAAGATTTCCCCAGAACCCTTGCTCCTGGGCTGAGCCCTGAACTCCTGGGAGTCAGTGACTGCAGATTCCTCGCCAGTGCCATCTTGGTGAACATAAGGGTCTAGAAGGGTCAGAAGGGTCTGAAGATGGGAGACTCACGTCTGGCTTCTTCTGAGCGGGCCCATCCCTCTGAAGCCCTGGCTGGAGGGCACCGAGGAGCGGGAGGGAAAGAATTCGTCTGGCCTGTCCTTGAGGACATCTCCCTATGCCAGCCTCTAGGGAGCCCTCTCCACGGGGCCTGGAGCTGTCTGGTGTTGTCATGGGCTGTGTTATGCTCCACCTGGCCAGACAGTGGCCATGCCTGGCCCAGAGCTGGGGCTCCATCTGTGTTGTTGAACTGAACTGAACAGACCCCAGGAGGGACGTGTGAGTCACTGGGGAGTGCTGGCTTTGGGTGAGTCTCACTGGCCTGCTTCATGGGCCCAGGCTGTCCAGAGCCCAGGGAGACCCTCTAAGGGATTGGTGGACAGGAAGTGGGTCTCTAGTGCAGCAGGAAAACTGGAGCCCAGAGGACCTCACCAGAGCAGGTGCCGGGAGGACGTTCCGACGCCCTCTCCCTGCAAATCGTTATTTCATCATTTAAAATGGGATAGTTGGAATAAACTTCCCAACATTTTTAGCTACAAAAACTTAAACAAAAGCTGAGAGTCTGGTCAGTGGTAGAGCTCAGGCCCAGCATGGATGGGGCCCTGGCTTCCATCTCCAGCACCACACCTAAAAAAGGAAGAAAAAGAAATAGAGAAAAAAAAAAAACCCAGAAATTTAAAAAGACCTTGTGTAGAAGTCTCAACATACAACAGATGAGAGAGAGCTCTGCGAGTGTGGGTCGGGGGCTCCAGGTGCTGTCTCGCCCACTCCAGGAACCCCAAGGCCCCTTTGCAGAACCAAAGGAAGGGCTTGTGGAGCCACTGCTGGGTCACCTGTGGTACCCTCTGGCTGTGGCACTCATGGTTCTTGTCCCCAAATGTCTCTCTGGCCAGAAAGATGTTCCCCAGGTGTTATGGTTTGGATATGAGCTGTCCCCCCAAAAGCTCACATGTGAGATAATGCGAGAAAGTTTGGGGGAGAAATGATTGGGTTATAGCCTTACCCTAACCAGTGAGTTAATCCCTGATGGGATTTTCTGAGTGGTAACTGGAGGCAGGTGGGGTGTGGCTGGGGGAAGTGGTTCACTGGTGGTGTGGCTATGGGGTATACATTTTGTATCTGGAGAAGGGAGTCTCTCTGCTCTCTGATCACCACGTGAGCTGCTTCCCTCTGCCACACTCTTCCACCATGATGTTCTCCCTCGCCTCGAGCCCCGAGGAGTGGAGCTGGCCTTCTATAGACTGAGACCTTCAATAAACTGTGAGTCCTTCAATAAACTTTTCCTCCTCTACAATTGTTCTGGCTGGGTCCTTCAGTCACAGCAGAGGAAAAAGCTGACTGACACACCAGGACACAAGGAGGGAGGGTGCTGAGGACTAGACTTCTGCTAGGCTCAGCTCCACATGACAATTACCTGAAGCCAAGGGTGGAAATGACACCTGCGATCCCAGACATTTAGGAGGCTGAAGCAGGAGGATTACAAGTTGGAGGCCAGCCTGAGCAGTTTAGTGAGACCCTGTCTCAAAAGAAAATAAAAATAGCTGGGCTATTTTATTTGATCACAGTCAGCATGTGAGGTCAACATCATTATCCCCAGTCCATAGAGGAGGAATCAGAGGCCCTGGGAGTTTAAGCACTTGTACCTTTCACACACCTGGAGAGGGGCAGAGCTGGGGATGCAGTCCCAGGGCCATCTGACCAGAGCCTCACGTGGGACGTCATATTTAAGGAAGCTGGAGAGGCGCAGGTTTAAATTCCATTCATGAAAGGAAACCGTTGTTGGAAAGCTCTCTCTGGCACCGCTTAGAGCCTGCACTGGAGGGACCAGGAGGCTGAGACCTTTGGGATCACGGAGTGTGCATGGAAAGGGGCAGGGTCCTCCAGCTGCTCAGGGCAGCCTGGCCCTTCTCCCACACTGCCCTCCCTCTCTCCTGCTGGGCAAGACCCCAGTCCTGGGCTGCCCGAGTCTGTATTGTTCTCTCATCTTCAGCTTTGCCTCCACAAGGGGCTCCTTTCCGCAGCCCCCACATTCCTGCAGTAGGTGAGCATCCTGTCCCAGGGTGCTGAAATTTGGTTTATATTTGGGGTCTTCACATATCCGTAAGAGGAGATCAGGGAAGGTAACAGGTGACTCTGACCTGGACAGTCACACAGCAGGCAACAATAGCTACCAGGTTCATCAGCATTTTCTGGCCCCTGCTCCACCCTGCCATCGAGATAGGTGCTATGTGGTGTCATTGGTTAAGCATCCAGACTGTAGGTCTAAACCTCTGGATTCAAACCCCGTCTCTGTCCCTTATCAGCTGTGTGACCTTGAAATGATCTGGTGGAGTTGTAACAAGGATAGGTTTGGGTGAATACCTGTTAATACCCCAACACCAGGGCTTGGCAAGCCAGCTCTTACTATTACTAAAGTCAAGATCAGGAAATAAGCCCCGTTCCCTGAAGCCCAGTGATACCTACGTGACCTTGGGCAAGGTGTTTATCCTCTCGGAGCCTTGACCTTCCTCTCTGAACCAGGGCTAACAATAACACCTTAGAGGGAAGACTGGACCCCTCAGGGCAGTGACATACTGGGGCACATAGTAAGTGCTCACTGAGAGATCACCCCCCTTGCACCCCCTCCCCATAATTCTCAAGGAGCCTGGCCAGCTGAGGCAGACCCACAAATGTACCTGACTCCTCCCCGGACAGGTTGCATGCACAGCTTAGGAGGGGGTGCTCCCTCACCCTGCCTGGGACAGTCAGCCATGTCCTTCCTGCTTCTTCAGCTATTTCCAGAGCTCCTGCTCCCCGAATGCCCACCTTCTCATTTCTGGATCTGGGGGCTCAGAAGTAAAGGATGTTCTGATGGCAATGGCTACCCAAAGGCTTCCCTCCATTTTGTCCTCCGATGTCTCCCTTAGAACCAGGCAAGCAGGACCCTTGCTCAGGGCCCTACCTCAGGGACTTCCTGCAGTGTGGGGTGCCTTCCTCAAAATGTCCTAAGGTCCCTCTGCTGCCGGGAGTTGGCTGGAGTCAGTGGTGCCTCTGGGAAAGGTGTCCCGTTCTGCCATTGTTCCCCGACTGCGTACTTCCTGGGGTTTCCAGGCCCCCAGGAGCTCCACCATCCCAGCCTGAGGAGACATCCTGGCATCCTGTGGCCCAGCCCCAGTCCCAGGAAGGCAGCTTGGCCAGAGGGTCATTTCCACTAGTTGGTCTGTTACTTTTCTAAATTCTGTTGTGTGAGGCTGGCCCACCAGAACAGGCTGGTGTGCTGATCTGGGTACTTTCAATTCTTTCCTTTCCTCCCTCCCTGCTTTCCTTTCTTCTCTTTTCTTGCAGTACTCGGGATAAAAACCAATGGTACTCTACCACCGAGCTATCCTTTTAATTTTGAGGCAGGTTTTCACGGAGGCTGGCCTTGAACTTGGGGTCCTCCTTCCTCAGCCTCTGAGTTACTGGGACTACAGGCATGTGCCACTGTGATGGGTTTCAAACTGTATCTACAGACAAGGACTCTTAAAACACATTTTCCTGAAATCCTGACACCCTGACACCTTACCCTCATCCATGTCCTCCTCTTCCACAAAGGAACCTGGAGCCTCTCAGTTGAATTAATAGAGAAACTGAGGCCCACATGCTTCCTGACAAACTTCAGCAGAATTCCATGGATTCCGACTTCGGCCCTTGTTGCTTCGAGAACATCTCCCTTCCTTTTCACCATTCTCTTTCCTCCTGCCTCATCCTGGAAGCTCTTCTGCGATGCTCTCTCCCCACCCTGGGCCTCCCAGCCTCCAGTGTACACCTCAACAGCCTCCGACTCCCCACTAGCAACAGAGGGGAGGGGCTGGACCAAGATTCCCTCTGGGGCTCTCAAGCAAAAGGGAGGGGCCTAGCTTGGGGCAAGGGGCTCAAGCAGGGACCTCCTCACTCCCTGCCACCCCTGTCCTCATGCCTTGTGGGTCCTCAAAGCCCCCTTTTCCCTTCCAGGATGCTGCAGAACAACGAGCTGGGAGGGATCCCGGCGGAAGCGCTGTGGGAGCTGCCAGGCCTGCAGTCTCTGTGAGTCACTGAGGGGCTGTCCTGGGGGTCACCCGCTTCCTGGGGCCTGAGTCGCCGTCCAGGCCCCCCTGGCCTCAGCCCTCCCTTCTCCTTCAGGTCCCCTTCTCCACTCCGTGTTCCAGACATCTGGCTCCTCCTGACTTTGGTTCCTTGGGGGGTTTGGTTGTTGTCAGCAGCAGTGCGTCTGGGTTCCCTTGTGTGTGTATTTGGGGAAGGGAGACCTCCCTAGGTAGGGCCACCAGGGCAGCAGTCCTGAGGCGACTGGCATTCTGCCATGTTCCCAAAGAGCATCAGGAAGGGGCTGTCCCTTCCACCTAGGCTGCTCTTGCCCACGGGGCTCTGCGCAAGGAGAGAAGGTGGGTGGGAAGGAGAAAGGGCTGTCAGGGACTCATGGGCCACCCATGACAGATCCATTCCTCCAAGGAGCCTGTAGTTCCCTTCTTGACCAGCAGGGGCATCATGGCAGCAAGATCAAGCCAGCCCGGGAAGTGGGAACAGGTGCTCCGGGGTGATGGAACCCAGCCCACTGTGGTCCTCTGGGTCAGGTGCTGGGTTTATCCACACAACACACAGCACAGAGCTGGAACAGGGTAGGTGCCTCACACATGCCTGGGGAACACCACTGCATTTCCAGTGATACCTCATCCTACGGGAGAATGGATTCATATTTAGAGAGAAATCAAAGTTGGAGGACAAGATTGGGGCATGACACCTGCCAGCAGGAGAAACAGAAGCACTGACAGTGAAAGGACAAAAGCCTCTGGTATTCTGGTATTCACAGCTTGTAGGTCCTGCTAAGGCCCTGCCCAGTGTGTGGACATGGAAGTCAGACGACTCAGAACTGTCCTGACTGCCCTTGAGTGGCAGGAGGTTGCGGGGGCCGGGGGGGGGGGCTTTTCTCCCTGTGGCTGACATTTAGCCCCCATTCTATCATAAAAACATGGGCCCAGCCAGGCAGAGTGCTACAGATCTGTCATCTCAGCAGCTCAGGGGGCTGAGGCAGGAGGATTGCAAGTTCAAGGCCAGGCCCAGAAACTTAGAGAGACCCTGAGCAATTTAGCAAGACCCTGTCTCAAAATTTAAAAGGGATGTAGCTTAATGGTAAAACACCTCTGAGTTCAATTCCCAGTCAAAACAAAATAAAACAAACAAACAAACAAAAACCCTGTCCTGGGGGGGGTCCTGCCTAGCTAGCTGTGCCATGGCCACCATGGTTGGGACCTTTATCCCCTATACTCCCTGGGACATCCTCTCACTTCCTTCTCTGTTTCTGAACCTCAGTGTCTGCCCTCCCCCAAGCTGCCTGATTTGCCCCAGTGACAGAACCTGTCTATCTCCCCTCATTTTCTTTTCGCCCTCCATCCCAATGTGTCTAGGCCTTTGGCCCCAGCCGCCTCTCTCCCTCCAGCCAGCCCCACCACTGGACAGAGCCAGCAATCTGGCTGCCCCTAGGAGCCAAGGTCAGGAGATCAAAGGCTAGGAAAGCCTGCGCTTGCTCCCCCTCTGGCGGGGCAGACTAAACATTTACTTAGGGCACCAGCAAAGGACAGGGACAGCCAAAAATAAGAGGGGTGTGTGTGTGTATGGGGGGGTTTGACATTTCATCCAGAGCATCAAAGAGGCCTTCATGGGAAAAAACTTGGAGTTCACTGGACTTCTTTGCACTTATTTTAAGGTTAAGTTGTTTTTAAATTTTTTAAACTCATGGATCCCATTTTTTGCTTACGGGTTCTAAAGGCCTCACCTTCAGACTAGGCATGGAGCTTCTGAGTTAGACACGCCATTTCCCCTACACTTTCTGGGAAGTGGGCAGACCCTGTTGGTTTGGAGAACTAGATAATTAGTGTCTACCCCCAACCCCATGACTCCCTGTTGCTTGTGTGGGTCAGGGGATGGGGACAGAGGCCCCATTCCCCACTTCCACAGATATAAGGTAAATGAATAGATTTGCCTCTTGCAATCCTGTGGGAAAAGTACCAGCCAGCCAGATAGAAAACTTGGCCTGTGGTCCTGGCACCTACCTTGACTACCGTGGGGCTGACTATCTTCCCTGCCTACCTCACAGGGTTGTTGTGAAGATGAATGTAGAATACATGGGAGGGATTTGCAAAAGGTCCTACACAGCTGTGATACGTGGTGATACTATTGCAATATTGTTTGTCTAAATGGATCATCGATTTATTCATTTTGCAAATACTTTTGAGGCCTTACTGGGATTGCAAAACCTGAGTTGAGTTCTGAAGGATTAGGAAGTGTCAGTCTGGTGAAGAGGAAGAAAGTCACAGGTAGAAGGAAGAGCACACGCAAAGGCACAGAGATAAGAAGGAATCCTGAGTGTGCTCTAGAGAATTTGCAGGAGGGAGTTTGGCTGAACTGTGTGTGTGTGTGTAGTGTGTGTGTGTGTGTGTGTGTGTGTGTGTGTTTGTGTTGGGGGCCTAGTGGGAAAGGCAGTGATGGGGAAAGATCTGGAACTAGCAAGTGATGATCCTGACAGATAGGCAAGGGCTTTGCTAAAGCTTTGGACTTTAAGCTTAAGCAAGTCGGGAGCTGGGCTGGGGTGTGGCTCAGTGGTCGAGTGCTTGCCTGGCGTGCATGAGGGCCTGGGTTCCATCCCCAATATCTCAAAAAAAGTGGGGAGCCATTGAAGGACTTTTAGCAGGAGAGCAATGTGATAGGGTTTGGGTCTCCCCTCTATCTTTGGCAGCAGATGGGGGCCAACCTGGAGGTGGGGAGCCAGCAAAGAGACTCCTGAGTGAAGTGAGTATGACAGCAGCCAAAGCAAGAGGAGATGTTGGTGAACTCTGGGAATATCAAGGATCCAGGTCAGGACTCTGGTGTTGGACTCCCTGGGTTCAAATCTCACCTCCCTCACTTACCACTTGGGAGACCTCAGGCAGGTTACTCAACAGCTGTCCTTCTGTTTCCTTATTAACAAAAAGGAGGTGAGGATGGTATCTATGTACCTCCATAGGATAGCACGAGGTGAGGTGATAAGCATGAATAACCTAGAACAGTACCTTTCTTTGCCTCCAGCACAGTTACTATTATGATTAGTAGTACCACTGATGGATATGGGAGTTGGAAAAGAGAAGTCAAGTCAACAACCAGTTCTCTGGCTTTGACCTCAGGGTGGATGGAGAACCTGGTCACCAAGAGCTTGGCACAGGATAAGAGCTCATGATGAACGTGTTGGACAAGTTGTGAATAAGAAGTGAAGCCTAGAGGGTGACCAGACAGGCTGGAAGATTGGTCGCTGTGCCTGTAGGACACCAGCGTGTGTGCATGTGTATAGTGAATGAGGGATGCACGACCCCAAAGAGTCTGTTATGATTGTCCTGAGCTTTGGGAAGTTGTAGGGATTCAAGGAGAGACCTCCCCAGACCTCAGTGTGGTGCTGCTCCCCTTGTTTCTGGTCCCTCCATCTTGGACAGCAAGACCAGCCCCAGTTGCTAGGCTGAGGGAGAAGTGGGATATGGGCCCATATGTGGAGCACCCTGTGAGCCAGCGCTCCAGGGAGGGTTGACACCCCCTGTCTGATTTCTTCTTCACAGATCCTCTTTAGTAACTCCCCCCTCTGCCATAGATGAGGCAACAGAGACTGACAAGTGTGGGGGTTCTGCAAGGTCAGGGCTGGTGAATTGGGAAGACAGATCTGCACCGTGGTTGTTGCATTCCAAAAACTGCCACCATCAGTGACCTTCCTCTTCCCCAGGAGTTATCAGCAGAGCCAATAGATGAGGAAGGCATACAGGGGACACACCTCTGCCTGTGCTCTTCCAGGGGTGGGATGTCCTCCCCAGAGCAGGCCAGGTACACCTCTTGTCCCTGGAAGTGACCATTCTTCATCTCCAGAAGGCAGAGGGTTGTAGGGGAGATCCCTGAATACCCTCATGGACATTCTCAGAGACTCAGGGAAAGACCAGCTCCATGGTCCTGCTTTCTACCAGCTAGAACCAGACTTTGGGGAGTAGGAACTAGGTTTGGGGGAGTCTTGGGTAGGGCCGGGTAGGGGTTGGGGCCAGCCGGCCCAGCATTCCAGGCCCCAGGTACCGAGTCAGACGTGGCGCACAGGCTGTTTGGCTTGGCACCTGGGCTGGCAGCACCCAGCCCCCCAAGTTCCCCTCCCTGGATACACTTGCTTCCTCCCCAACTGATGTGGGAGGGGGAGAGCGGTCACGCCAGACGTGTCACGCCAGGCTTGAGCACAGGCCAAGAGAAACCGCGGGAAGCCAGTGGAGACAGGGGGAAAATAGAAACTGGTGGGGGCGAGGCCTGGCCCGGGAGGGGGAAAGCGCGGAAAAACAGAGCAGCAGCCCAGGAGGGGCCAGGCACAGAGCCGGGGAAAGCACGGTGGCAGGAATAAAGGGGAGAAAATAGAAAAACAGCCCCATCCTGGACACCCTAGGGGGGAAACGCATAATTACAAAGGACAGCCACATGAAACGTTGTGTGGCACTGGGGAAATTAATCAAGAGCAGCGCCAGACTCCCAACTGGAACCCGCTAGAGCTACCACAACCCCTTCGGCTCAAGCCAGTGGAAAACGTGCAGGCAGCGGCTGGTCGCTGGAGGGAAAGAGGTAGAGAGGCTGGGGTGGGAAGATGTGTGTGCGCGGATGTGCCTGTGGGCACAGGGAGGTCCCTGGCTGGGGCCAGGGAGGAGCGGCTCCCACTTAGCACACTTCAATATGTGAAGTGCATTCTCTGTCTCATTTAATCCTGAAAATTCTATCAAGTAGCCTTTATTATGTCCATTTTATAGATGGGTCAACTAAAGCCCAGATAAGTTAAGGAATTTGCTTGAGGTCACATAGCTAAGAGAGAGTAGGGCTGGAATTTTAGATTGGTTCTGATTCCAAAGTGCTATGCTGTTAACCTCTATTCTTTGTTACCCCTCTGAAGCTACAAGTTTTAGGATTCAGAGACTTAGGTTTAAGTCCTGGCTCTGTCACTAACTAGTTATAAGGAAAGTCGCCTCCCCTTTCTGCACCTAAAGTTCCCC